CGCCCTTTAAAGTGAAAGTTTATAATAAAAAAAAAAAATTTTCATTTTCAACATATTTTTTGGTTCTTTAAAGTTGATGAAAAATTTTTGACAAGTTTTGTGAAAGTTTATAGTAAAAAAAATTGATAATGTTACCATAACTTTTAGCTCAATTACAAGTTGAAATTGACATCATTANAGAAATTACTATTTACAGTACATTTATCAGAAAAGTTCGATTTTGTTTACATTTTTATCTTAATAGATCACTTAAATAAAAATCATCGTAATCATTTCTAATTACCTTTTTGGTGTTTAAAAAGATTCTACAATGGAAATATTCAGAACTTAATTATTTTTAATGATTTACTTTAACTAAATGAATCAAACAAAACAAAGTTGTTAAAATGATTTACTCAATTGAGCGTATTATAAAATTTGTAAATAATTGTAAAAATCCATCGTTAAATTCAGGTGAAACTAAAAATCATTTTTTTTTTAATTTATGATTTATATAGCAACATATTACAAAAAAATATGGAATATTATAGACTGATAGTAGCACACACAAATAGATTTAAAGAATTGCTAAATATACAAAGTATAATTATTTACTTTTGCAGTTGAATACTTTTATCATATCAAATCTATTTCGACAATAAATACTTTAAGAACATTAGATATTAATGATTTTAATTGTGTGTATGGAAAAAGCTAGTTAAGTTATTTTTTATTTGAATAAGGAATATTTTTTTCGATGTTTAAGAGTAATAACTTAAACTAAATACGAATTGTAATCATTTGACGTATCGTTGAAATAAGTAGGTCTAGTGAGGGTTAGCAAAATAAATTGTAGCCACAGAAAGAACCACATTGTAAAATAATATTAACATGAATATAAATTTCTTCTCACGAGGGGAGACGATAGTGATAAGATCCTTTATATTTATTGAAGTTATTGAATCTAAATGAGATAAATATCAAATGATTTGAAAATTTTATTCTAACTCAAAAACAGACGGATTTGAACCTCGTACCCTACGCGTGAATGACCCAAGTATTACCGATTCGGCAACTGTTTGTTGCTTTTGTCGCATAATAAAATTAGTTATTTAAGCTAACTCAAATTTAAAAATTACTTTTTCGACTTTAAAAAAGTAAATAAATTTTAATAAGTTTAATTTCTTATGTCTTATGAACTTAATTCTTTATCAATTAAATTATAAAATCAGGCACGTAGCCAGAAAATGTTTATTGGAGGGGCCAACAATTTTGGGCCCTTGTATCATTTTCCATAACTTGTTTCCCATGAAAAGCTTGTGGGGGGGCTCCCTCCACTCGTCCTTAAATAGTACCCCATAATATGAATCTTACAAGTTCAAAATTTTACCATTGGTTGGTTAAATACAAATTGTTTTCGTATAAAGTATACTAATTATTACAGTATTATAAAAAATGGATAGTACCTATAATTAAAAAAAATAAAAAATACTTACATCTTTACTATCGGGATGAATTTTTCATGTTGTGAAAAATAAATAAAATAATGATGTGAACATAAACTGATTTGATTTGTCAACTTTTAAGCTATTAAGAAAAAATAATTTATACCTAAATACTAATAACAAATAAGTTATAAATAATTTTTAAAATAATTATAATTTATAAACAATTAAAAATTTATTTAAAAAAAAACCCAGCACAGGGGGGTCGCGGCACAGTGGTGACGTGGCATAGTTGGATCAAGTATAATGATATCTGACAGTGATTAAAATCACTATCAAAAAAAAACGCTTCGATGCAAATCTTTAGATAGTGTTTAATTTTAAAAAA